TCCTCCCTCCCACTCCTTGAGAAATTACAGTGTGAAGGCCTCGGGCAAGGTGAGTTCGTGTGACACCAGAGAGGTGGGTGTCAGCATGAGCAGCCGGAGCCGCCCTGCTCGTGGGTGCTCGGTCCATCCATCAACCAGGTCATGCTGGAGGGCTGGCCTGGGAGGGATGGTGAGGGACTAAGTGTGTTTAAGCCAAATACACACTTCAAATGGGGGGTTTTTTGGTGTCTCATAGAAATAAGCTGTCTCATAACCCACCATCTTGTTCAGTGCTGCCCACAGTGGAGTTCCTTGTGCTATGGAAATATCTCAAGCTCCTGAGGGAGGCTGTCAGCCACTATTGACACCATACATGGAGCACATGTTGGGAAGAGTTCCTGCACCAACAGCTTCTTACCAGTAAATGTAAAAAGAAGAGGAAAAAATGGATGTACTAAAGAGAAAGGGGAAGAACACACTGAGCAGCAGTGGGAGTGGACACACACAAGTGCTGGGCCACTTGGGATGGTTGCTGACTTTCAGGAGCCCCTGTGTAAGCAGTGAACTGCAGCACCTTGTAAGTCCCCACCTGACCTTGCTGGAGCTCTGACCCCCCAGCTAGGACAGCCTGCAGCAGGGAATGCTTCGGTGAAGGTACTGGGCTGTGCTTTGCCTTTAGCGAGCGATTTGAGGTATCAGGTGAGAAGGCAGGAGTGCTAACCTGATACCCCATCCCTCTGCTGAGGTCCTGCTGGGTTGACCTAGTGCTTTGTAAGTATTCCTTATGCTTTAGGTTTTTAGCTGAACCACCCCCACCCCTCCCCGGCTGATAGCTACTGGAGCACGGTACTAGGAAATATTACTACAGCATACTTTGAATTCACATCGATTTTGTAGAAAAAATTTGAGACTTCCCTTTTTTAGAATGAGAAGCACTGCTGTTCTGAGTACAACAGTGTGGCATCTTGTTTGGAATTTCCCTTGCTTTCTATATATACACATGCAGCGAAGCCACAGGAAATGGAAGTTTTAAAAAAATACCATACAGCATAGGTATTTGCTTCTTGAACAAATTTTATTCTTGTAGTTGGTTTTATTATTAGTGAGCACTTCATCTTCAGGCGTCATTTAAGGCTTGTTTTAAAAGATGTGATGTCCTAAATCATTGGAGGGGGGAGCAGATATTGTCTTAAAACTTGCAGAAGCTTTGAGCAGCTTTTTAGGCTCTATATTGCCCATGCTACAGAAGACAGCATTATTGTTGATCTTTTCTCCCTTGGGGCTTTTGGGGTAGGGACCAACTTCTGAGGCTTCTCCCAGTTGTGTTTTCTGAGCTTTAGTGAGTCAGTCTTGCCTACAGCTGCTGTCGTGATTGTGTGCTAAGGGCCTACTTCTGCATGGCAACCAGCATAGTTATTAGTAAACAGCATTTACTTGAAATCCCAAGCAAAATACATTATAATTAGGTCCAGGAGTAATGAGAACCAGCTTGCCAGCAGTTGGAGGATATATGGTCCGAAAACCTCATTGGTGAGACAACTGCTCAGGAGCTCTGAGCTTTTCCTGGCTCTGAACTCAGGCTGGTTTGGAGAGCAAAACTCTGAGGGAAGGTAATTTAATGAGGGAGAAATTTTAGGAGAAGGGATTGACTAATCATGCAGGTAATTGGACAAATACATCTTGGGAGCTCTTAATATGCCAAGACACATTCTTACAAGTCCCAGAAGAGACAGTTATCCTGCCTCCTCCCAGCCTCCCTGGACCCACAGAGGTACCTCTGGCTGTCTTTTAGTATGGACGTGCCTCTCCACTACAGGCATTGCTCACCAGCAACGAGAGATTTACAGAAGCCTAAACTGGCGTTAACTTAGCCTGAGAACATGGCTCAGTTATCTTAGATGCCTTTTGTTATTGATACAGCAAATAAGGAACCGAGTCCCATGCAGTCACATAGTTTTTTTGTATGGTTTCAAGAGTCTCTTGTGCGAGGACTTGTTTCTGCCTTTTTACAGATGATGTGTTGTTTCAGTGAACGCGCGTAGTACAAATGGATAATGAAAGTTCATAAAGTTTACGCTATTGAAGTTCCTTTCATTTTATACAGTTACTTTCTTACTCATATGCCTTTATTGCTTTCTTTTGGGAAAGGAACTGGGTTGCTTTTACCATTTAACCAAAGAAGACACGCACTACTTGGACGGCCATCCAAATGGCAAAGAGCATGTGTGAAGCCAGAAGGAGCTTTCCTTAGTTTAGAGGGTTCAGAAACTGCTGGGAACTCACGGCTGCTTTCACTTCAGTGTTAGGGCAGCGGAGATGACAGGTTTTATGCATTCTGGTCTACAAGTTGAGGAACCTGAATTGTGACTGGTGGTAATTGCTTGGGATGACTTGAAGTGTATGGTTTGCCTGGTGAGGAGAGGGCAAGTAAAGATTTTACAGTGTTTCTTCAAGAGATCTACCAGTGACTTTGGTGTAAAAGTCAGAGCACTGGGTAATAGAGAGGTTTTCTTGGAGGAATATTTTATGCCCTACAATCTGAAACAAATGTTTGCACGTAAAACACTGGTAGTTCTTCATAGTGTGACTGGCTTCTTGGTTAAGCCAAAACAAGAAAGAAATAGGTAAGACTTTTTACCAGCTGGAAAAAATACTCAGTAGGAAATGGTAAAGTAAAATAGCTCTGAAGTGAGGTATTTTTATACTGAAAAATAGCAGATCTGTCCTAGATTTTTGCCAGTCATCGTTTATTGCACAGCCTTAGGTGGTACCTGTAATCTGTGCTTCATCTACAGCTTCACCTGTTTGTGTCTGTTGGTCCACTGTGGTCCTCGTTGTAGGTATATCCAGCTTCCCAGCACTGACATGCCCTCCTTTCCCAGTATTCATACTAATCTCTGCTTGGACTGCGGACTAATTCACAGGTCTTAAATCCACAAGAATAGGTACTATTCATTTCTGTGTACTGCAGACTGCAGATTCTAATTCTTGCATCTATTTCTAATAGTTGTAGGTCAGTCTGTCCAACTATACCCACAGCGATTAACATGAGTGGAAATTTATAGCAGACTTGAGCTTCTGATGTTTATTAAAGCAGCAATTATCTCAATGGAATAAAAAAGAGGCACTGCCAAGATCTAACTTACTTTATTGTTGTGTTTGTAACTGTAATGTGAATATCTAAAAACCAAAAAAAAAAGTCCATATTCTGCTATATCGACCACTGGCAATGTAGTATTGATGTACATTGAAGCTGTAAACAAGGCTTGTCTAATGAGAACAGTCAGAAAAAGTAAGATTAGCTTATGCCACAGGAAGTTTAATCATATGTTTCTCAGCCTATATTCTGTGGGCTGCATCTGATCTCTAACACCTTAAAAGGTGATGCATAATGGTCACTAAAAAAAAAAACTAATAAAATCTCTGCATGTTTGTGCATGTTGTGTTGGGAAAAACAAGCTAGTAACCACAGGTTTGCAATCAGTTTAAAATAGTAAGAACCATTGCACCTGCACACTGCATGCAATGGCCCATGCAGCTTTTTTGGTAATATCCCACCTAAAGCAACATTGGCATAAACTATCATCTTCCTTTGGGGCTGTAACAAGATCCTGAAAAGGAAATATCAAGGAAAATACCCACAATCCTCCTAAAGCGTAATACTGGGAAAGAAGGAAAGCAGAAGACAGGAGTGTTGTATACAAAGTCAGTTTTCTTGAATTATGAAAGGTTATGGTTGCACTAGGCCTTTACTTTGTGTCTCATCCTTAGCTCCAGCTCTGACATGGTGAGAAACACCTGGAGCTAAGGCTGAAAAAACCTGTGGCCCTGTTACATTTGTACACTTTAACTTCTGATACTTCTTCTCAAAACAGTCCCCTGCTATTTGTTGAAGTTATCGCCAGTGTAGATAGGATAAGAAGAAATTGAAGCTAGCATTGGCATCTTCACACACGTGTGGCAAGGTAGGTCATTAAATGTGTTTTCGTGCAGCTGAAAGGTCATTCTTCCTCTCAGAAATGAGGAGTGATTTTTCAACATACTTGAAAAAAGTCCAAGACACTGGTTATCACTGAAGTAATGAAATAACTCATATCCGAAACCATGACATTTAGTTAGCCCTTAGTATAGTTACTGGGACTATTTCACATTTAAATACTTACATTGAAAAAAAGATTTTTGACCACTTTACTAATGTAGTAAAACAACTGCACAATCACTTTTATTATAAAAAATAATCCTTAGGAAAAATAGGAATACAATCAATAATTACACAAATACACATTTACAAACGTGTAAAATAGTTACTTTTGGCACAGAAGAAATAAATATCCCTGTACATTGTTTCTGTGCAAAAAGACAGGCTAGTTTTAGTCAATAACCAGCCCTTTTATGGTTTCCACACTTCTCCTGATTTCAGTTGAACACAAGGATTTTCACATGAGATCTCTAGAAGTTCAGCCTCAATAGACAAGAAAATACTTTCACTTTTAATCCAGATAAAGCACAGTAAGATTTTTCCTATCTTCTGCCAAAATGCTCCTCCCCTGTTCTTCGGCCTGCATTTTTGGAAGAGGAGGAAAATTTTAAGTTCAGTAATCTTTTTCACAAGCTTTCAGACTGCTGTAAAGAATTAGACTTGAATATGAGTCAAGCTGCACTCTGAAGCTAACTACCACTGCAAGTTTCAGTTTAGTTTGCAGTAGAATTTGCATTATGCTTGCCTTCCTCGTAGTTGTCAAAAATAATTCTTCATAAAAACACTTTGCTTTATCTTGAAGCCTTTCATACAGTCCAAGAGAAGGTGAAATAAAGTAAGAGGTAGATATTGTTCATCCTCCTAATTCCTAAGAGCTGTCCATTTGAATTACTCTGGTTTAGGACTGTAGGAGATACGTATAGAGCAAAGTTCTACTGTCTATAAAGTAGTGATCGACTTACACGTCTGGCATCATGTGGTCACTGACAACATTCAGCAACATGCTTGAGGAATTCATCACCGAGTTCATCACTGAAAAACCTCATACAATGAGGGCATCTAAGTTCACCCTGTGCCCTGCCCTCGGATCCTGAGTTCCCATTGTCCGCAGGAGAAGCTTGTTCACACTGTGAAGATGTTCTTCTTGTGCCCGTTTGACCTGGGCTATTGCCTCGTAGGTGTTCAACGTTCGTCTGTACGTACATATGATTTTGGTTACCAATGTGAACTCTGAAATGACTACTTGTGTCTCTTGAGTCCTAGAAAGAGAAGGAGCAGCTCTTGAAAAAAAGATGCAGTAAAAAGATAACTCTTTAACAGAATATTTTATCACCATTATCTGAAACACTGCTCATGTTTTTATCAGAAGATTTGTAAATAAAATATGCATCAGTTTTTGCAGTTTTATTAAAATAGTTGTCAAGAGGGCTTGTAGAAAACACAATCAGTATGCTACTTTAAAGATGCTACTGTCACGGCTGTCCTTCTCTTCCTTCTAAGAATTCACCCTTACTATGTTGATCCAAAACAGAAGGAAAATGAACTGGAAAGGGGTATTACATGTGTATTGGGAAGCATCTCCACTAGAACTGACTATGAAATAATGTAAGTTTCTGATAGCTGCACTGAGCTGAAATAGTTTTAGAAGTACTAAGATTTTTTTTTTTTAAATACATTTATAAGTATATTTTAGTCCTGAATCCTGTTGACATGCTTTAATTGAAGAAGTAGCATGTTACTTTCTTACCTGTCTTCTTGCCAGCTGGTGTTGCAGACATGCAACTTCTGCCTGAAGCTCTTGTATTTTACTCTGTGCTCGTTCTCTATCTGATCTCTCAGATGTGAAATCATCTTTATAAACTAGGACCTGAAAAAGAATTATTATGTTAATATTTTATAAATGAGAGCATTGGTAGGTTAGATTAAAAAGTTGATGCTGTGACTCCTTTGTTTGTAAATACTTATTCCTAGAATCTCAATATTATCTCCTCTATCATATCTGTACTTCTAAAGGTACCTGTATTTCTTTTTCAGATCTTTCATATTTAGTATTAAAGCCAGCAGAACTGCATGCAGTTCTTTAAGTAGTGAGTTTCCTTTAAATCTGTTCTGTGAAGTATCTGAATAGCCAAATGTGGCAAGACAAGTGGCAAATATCAAAAGAAATAATTTCATTTTTCCCCCTTGGATTTCAATGGTCTGGGGAGAAACTAAGAATTCCCACCTCTAGGAAAAAGAAACTTAATGACCTGTTGCTCCAGCATTTGTATGCGCTCATTATCTCCTGCACTAGCCTTCTTCACATCTTCTAATTCTCTCTTTGTTTTTATGCATTCATTCATTTTTTCTTCCAGTAGCTTGTTTAACCGGAATATCTCCTTGTGCATCAGGTCAGAATTTGTTTGTGCTGAAGTTACACCGTTCTGCTGCTCCAGTTGTGACTTCATCTCTTTTAGCTGCAAGTGGAGTCGCTTCACATACTCATCCCTACTCGCATCATATTTCTGCCATTTTGCATTTAGGTCTTCCACCTGAAAGATTACCCAGGAGAGTCAGGAAGAACATGAAGACATAAACATCAAGACACAAACTGCCAAGCTTTCATAGACTGTCTCACATGTGCAGGACCAAAATTCTCTAAAAGATAATATAACATGCTGACTCAACCGCTAAGTGTGGATAAGCGACTAGAGGAGAGCAGAAGGTTATCATGCTATAAGCCAGGCTCTGTAAACAGGCAGCCTTCCCCATCTGCTGATCCATAGGGACAGTATTAAATAATATGGAATGGGAGGGGGTGGCGGTCACCCTGGGCCTAGTGCTGTCCTCCTGGCGTGGAATACTGATGCATGGAAGGAACATGAAAATTTTCTTCTGCAGTGTATTTTGAACAACAAAACCCCAATACATTAAAAATAAAGAAATAAGCTGTTGTTAGTTAAGGGAACAAAGACTATGTGTCATGCTCAAAGGACTAAGAAGAATCCTGGACTTGCACTGAACTGCCATTTAATTAGATTAACCAGGCCTGGCCTATTCCAAATGTACTGCAATTCAAAATACTCAATGAAATCTTAATCTTGTACAGAATGGAAGTACTCACGTGAGCTACTTTGTGCTTTAACATCCTGTTTTCATCTTGTAGGTTGCAGATAAGAGCTTGAAGTGAAGTTTCATTGTCTAAAAGCTATAATTTTCAGATAAAGGAAATGTTACTTTAACATAAAAATCCCAAACGCAACTTAGCTATGCTGTTAAACTGGAAGTAATCTTTTTTTAAATTCCTCTAAAACTATTTGCTATTAGTGAAACAAATACATACATCTAAGTCTACTGATTTCTATATAATATATTTCTAAATACTAATAGTATAGCCTACAGCTTTATTACTAATAAGCAGAGCAAAAATGTACTCAGGTTTTTACTACTTTGGTATTGCTTTTAAATAGATCTGTGTGGCATCATAAAAACATGTCTTACCAAATTCTGAGCCTACTGAAGGTAACAAGAATAATACCACAGATCTTACATGCATGAGGGTCTACACTGATGACAACAGAGCTTAACGGTTTATACGAACTCCTTGGAAACTACTTGTTTGGAGTCGGGGAATACATGACAAAGACACAGATATGCCTTCATCTTGCTTTGTTATTACTGTCAATTTTGGCCAGTACTAGCAAGAAATTACTGAGGGGGAAAAAACCCTGCTTGCTAAATGATACCTCTTTTTTACAGTTGTGACATCTGCTTAAAAAAAACCCGGTGTACATGAGTAATATAGAACACTTTTGTACAAAATTCCCTAGAATCAGCTAGTAATTGCATCTGAAATTTCTCTTCTTCAACAGGGAAGTCCCCACTGTACATGGTTAGCTACTTATTACATATATCAAAGTCAATCAAGTTTCCTGTCTATCAATTACACGTAAAATATGATAATACTAAATGCTTCAAGTCCCTTAAAAAGTCCTTTTTTCTTATGTCTAGTCAACCTCTAACTATTTCTTACAGGTAACTTTAATGTGAATAAGTTTTCTTTAGAAATGCTCCTGGGATGTTTTACAAAGTAGAAGTGAGCATGTATAGAGTTTATCATAAAAGCATAGATGAGTGGTCATGTGAAACACAGCATTACCACTATGTAGCTGTAAGAGCATGAGACAGGATTATTCTTTTTTGTGGGAACTGCCTGTAGCATCCTACTCAATACCCTGATCTGTTATTAGAGGCAGCACCTCTAGTGTTATTTCCTTATGGTATTATCATGAATTACCTACTGACTCTGAACCATCATGACTTCTGGAACAACCAAACACCATGATCTACCTCTATCCTACGCTGAAGAGCTTCTGCTAAGGTGATGAGGCGGCAAAGCCACACAGCCATTAGCACAGTACGCCAAAATCCAGGTGTTTCTTTGTGCCCCTCAGTGGCATTTCTGCCACCTTCCCATCATGAAGCAATTTTTCTAAACATCCCTGCTGGAGACAAGCAGTGCCTTGCACTGGCAGGCCATGGGGGAACCCCAGAGCAAAAACCAGAAAAGGTAAGACACCTTGACTCATTCTTCCCTAACCAACTTTCTGTAGGTCTGCACTACATGTGCAAAGCTAAATCCTGAGAAGACCGTGCGCGACAGAGTTCTTAATACTACTTTAAAATATCCCTGCTGTGTTTTGTGATGTCGATGCTTAACCAAGTAATGAGGAGATACCACCTTCAAAAGCACAGCACCATCTAGTGATGCACAGAAATATGCTGCGGCATACAGAAGGTACTGTCTCCTGTATATGCAGGGAAGAATTGTAATCATGGAATTGCTGAGGTTGGAAGGGACCTCTCAAGATCCTCTCCTCTCCAAAAAAGCCTCTGATAAGTCAGATGGCCAAAATGCAAGTGATCGACAACTGCCTCCATCCTAAATTTTTGGTACTTGGAATTATTTAGAGCTTGCCATGGTAGTCTTTTCACC